AAATGAATTCCTTGTCCCAATTTTGCTATAGTTTGATGTATCACATGCAACTGTTATTCTAACTTGGGCCAAACTTAGCACATAAGTATTCAAAGATATTTTCTTTTATTGCGCGCGCGCGCGGACATTTAAGCCTTTGGGGTTGAATCTTTTTAGCCCATATTTGTTTCAAGAGTGTCAGGAAAAATTTTCAAGTGCAATTAATGAAGTTAACATTGATTTACTGTCAAAAAAGTAGCATTTTTTCACAAAAAGCGCGCGCGCGCGCGCACTTTTGCTCAGATTCCTTCAAAACCAAAAAATGCATGTAATATACATAATTCTGAGTTTGCATGCAAAAAATCAGCCTCCTACGACAATTCTAAGTTATGTTTAACCACTGTTTAAATTTTCCGGAGAGTAATACGTTTTGTGGCCCCCCCCCCTTTCAAATGACCCTCCATAAAAGAATTTTCAGTAAAAATAAAAATAATAGGGATTTCCTTGATTACCCTTTATAATATCCAATTGTGATTTCTTTAAAAGATTAACTTGCAATAAATGGAGCAAAGGCAAGGACAAAAATAAATTGATCTTTTTTCCAGATATCCCCACAATACCTTCCTTATAAGGTATACAGCAATCACAAAACATTCTGAGATCTGATGACACTTTAAAATAAAAACAGTAATGTCCATATTTTGACATTTAGGCAAAATATTGCAAACCCTTAGTTTTAAGAAAATTTGTTTTCTCATACAAATTGAATATATTTCTGAAATTGTTTCGACGTTTTAATGGAATACCTATTTTTTCAACTTTTAAATGTATGGAATGAAAAAAAAATTTATTTTTAATCTCAGATTTGAATTCCTCAGGAATATTGGATCAATAACGTTTGTTTGGTACATTTTCGTATAGTAACGCATTGGTAACATTTTGTATTGGTAACATAAACATTTCGTATCGGTAACATTTATAATGGGTAACATTTTGCATTGGTAACATTTTGTATTGGTAACATTTCGTATTGGTAACATTTCGTACAGGTAACAAATTTTATAATATTTTACATAAGTAACATTTTGTATTGGTAACATTTCCTATGGGCAACATTTTGAATAGGTAACAATTTGTATTGGTAACATTTCGTATAGGTAACATTTTGCATAGGTAACATTTCGTATTGGTAACATATTTTGCAAAGAAAATCTACGAAGGATGATGAAGAAAATCCGCCAAATTACAACATTTTTAAAACCATGTATCTTACTTAGTGTATATAGTTGTCAGAGTAAGGCATAGTTGTTAACAAGAATCAAAAAACAAGAATCCCCGAAATCTGATGGATAATAATTCGGTTAAAAAAAAAGTATGTACAATAATTGATAAATTGCATATATTTTGATGATTTTTGTCTTTTACATTTCTAAGAAAACTTACCCCAGGTGTTACCTATACAAAATGTAACCTCTAAAAGATGTTATCTAAACGAGATGTTATCTAAACGAAATGTTACCGAGACAAAGTGTACTATACGAAAATGAACCTTAACGAAATGTTACTATACGAAAACTTACTTTACAAACGTTACTGATTCGGAATATTTGCACATTTGAAAGATTTGCAACATCGAAATTTAAAATTGTTCAAAATTGACACCCTAATGTAAATATTGGATCTTGATAAAAGCATAATTTGAAAAAAAAAAACGTTCTTTTATCCTACCAATTTCCAGGACATACCAGAAATCATCTTCAAATTGGTCATTCTGTTCCTGAATTATTATTCCATGGAAAACACATAATAACTTTAAACTTTACAAACTCAGTCACTCACAGATATAACTTTAAACAGGGACGGGGGGGGGGGGGGGGGGGGAGTGGTAAACTTTATCAAAGAATAATACAATCCTCCCCAGGTCTCTAACTTCGCCCCCCCCTCCCCCTGTTAACTATTTTCCCTTTACCCACCCCTCTTTCCCGACTTTCTAACCATCTATCTCTTCATACTTACAATCTTGGCGTGAAATATAAAAAATCCAACTTTTGAAATAAAATAATTTCGATTTTTGAAGAAAAAATTCGATTTTTTTGTCTATAATCCCCGGGGGTACTTTTATATTTATTTGCACGTTTATTATTAAAAATGTTCCCCTAATATTTCCAGAAATATATCAGTCACAAATTATAGAATTCATAAAACTTTTAGAAATGTTATAACAATATGGACAGAATGAAATATAATTAGCGAAAAGCTTTTAATCATTGTATACATTACTTAAAAAAATATATCTTTTAAAGAAAATACTTTTTCATTGCAAATTAAAAATACATGGGGAACAAGATACATTTCTTGGAGCGCTTAAAGTGACTGTAAGCGTAATTTTAGGTGATCCTCCATGTAAATAGGACAATGCCCATTTTACATGGGTACCATTTAAACCTTTGAGTGTTTGTTGAGTACGGAGATATGAGTGTGTAAACTTGTATTTAGCTGCAATATGTAGTATACGCTGTACATAGCCCACACTGGTAATTACAGCTGAATACAAGGGGGGTTCAATAAGTTAACACATACACACCTCTGTACTCAACCAAAGCACTAAGGTTTTAAAGGTACAGTTAATAATTTACCTGATTGTTATGCATTTAAACCGGTCACTTGTTCCCTTGAACCTCACCTCTGGGTTCATGATCTCCTGGTCAAATATTTTGTAGGAAACAGGAAAATTCTTTTTCCTCTTCTGAACAAAATTGAATCCGAAAAAAATGCTTTGGTAGTTGGGGAAAATAGTTAAGTAAATCAGTTTGTTGTTAAAAAGTATCAAAAAATGGAAGGGAACCTGTTAAGAAAATGTCAAACTTTTCATTTCTCCATCTCCTTGAAAGGGGGACCAATTATCTAAAATATATACCCCTGGGTTTACAATCTCCAGGGTGTTGGTCTCTCCACTGCTACTATCCATCATCAATGTTAAGTTAGTACTTAGAAGCCTGATCTCAGATTTTACCAAAGATAAACTTTGCTCCAGCAAACCAACAAACAATCTGAAAAATACCGGTTAATGGGACTATGCATATATAAGGGGGGGGCCACAAAACGTATTACTCTCCGGAAAATTTAAACAGTGGTTAAACATAACTTAGAATTGTCGTAGGAGGCTGATTTTTTGCATGCAAACTCAGAATTATGTATATTAAAAAGGGGGGAGTGTAAATAAATCATTTAGGCGCAACTTAATTTAGTTTTACAATTTAAATAAAATACAATAGCGTAAAATCAATAAATCACACTAAGGGATCCATTAAAAGTTTCCCTTCAATTACAACAAAGTTCCAAAGGGAATGAAACAGAAATAATGTTGTAAACTATTAATTAATTTGACATAATCACCTTTTGCAAGAACCACAGAGTTTCATGTAATCACCGCAAATTACCAACAAGGAATTTGGCCTCGTTTATTGATAAATAACGATAAATCACGCTCTTAACTTTCAAGAATTTGAGTGTACTCTTTTCCAGGATTTTCTTGTTTTGTAACTTTGCAAGTTAACAGGGATACTAATATACTTTTGGAATTTATGAACTGATAATTTTAATTTTCAAATATAATAAAATGGTTAAATTTAAATTTTAAAAAAATATCTTTCTGTGAAGTAGTATTTCCCTGTCCAGACAACAGCTGATCGCATAAGTGTACCCTGTGACCTCCTCCGCCTAATACAATAATTTAAATCTTAAAAGAACTACAGACATATATGGTGTCCCACTCGTCCCACATCATATTATATCGTCAATCGGTCAAATTTACGATTTTCGGGATTAATCAGAAAATTTCAGGAGAATGAATCATTTTGATAAATTGAATAAGGCATAATCATGAGAGAATAGAATGAGAGGAATTTACTAGAAAAAAGTGTAAAACGGCCATTTTGTTGTACTGTTTCCATCCTGCAGGTGTACTTCACATATTTATGCTATATAACCTGTTGGGCCCTGGAATATCATTTAATAGAAAATCTAAAATTATTGTTAAAAGAAAACCAAATTATGAAATAGGCTGGTTTCATAATTGACCAATGATCATTTCACATAGACTCTATGCCTTCCACTTTACAAACGATGATTTTCCGTTATAACTATCAATCAAATGTTGTTTTTATTCACCAAATTCATTTTATAAAGTTTATTTAACAGCTTTAAAAAATTCGAAATTGAAATGGATAGTCTAGGGAACATACTGTATTGGTGTACTTTACTGCATAAAATTTGTGAACATTTACATGATTTGTACACTTTGAACTTCCTTTCAGGCTGAAAGGGACTGAAAAAATTCATACCGAGAGATTCTTTTAATTCCTCTCTATATATTCTATTCTCATGGGCATAATACGATCCTAGTATACGATTTTTGGACCCCCATATGGTCAATTATATCATGCATGTCTTACATTATACATATAAGATCCGTTACAAAATTATCAGAAGGGGGACGGGGGGGGGGGGGTCCAAAAATCGTATATTAGGAAATTTCCCTAATATAAGAACTCCATGCTTGCGGAAGATCCTAGGTTTCTCGAGTATTATGGGTTTATGGGTTCTATAAATGCTGTTTGGTCCGTGGTCAGCTTGGTCACACAATTGAAAGTATGTCAACAGGTGGGGGGGGAGGGGCACGTGCCCCCACCTTTTCTCTCGAGGAGGGGGTATCTTAAAATTAGATTGGCATAAATAATTATAATGAAAAGATGGAAACAAATAGTGAAATATTAAAAAGAGGGTAAAAGGAAAGAAATCAGTTTTTTACCAAAAGTTTATTTTTGACCATTTTGTATTCTTAAAAATGTGTTGGCAATTTTTATTTGAATGACGTGGAAACTAAAAGGGTTTTAAAAAATTCTTGCATTTTGAGAAACATCGACCTTTTTCTTCTTATAACAAATTTAGGCTTAGGAAAAGTTCAGGTCGTAGCTAGGAATGTTTCATATAAGGGGGGGGGGGGCACAAAGTTTAGAAAATGAAGAAAGGTATAGAATGGGCGCGCAGTAGGGGGAAACATTTGTTGACCAAAAACCTTAGAAAAGGTCAAAATAAATGACAAGACTAAAAGACTATATTTTCAACTGATTATACATTTAAGGTTTATTCTAGGTAGAAATTTAGCTTGCTTTGAAATATGTTGTATTTCCTTTACGAGCTATAATGAGAAGCTATTTGCATCAAAATCAAAAAAATAGTTTTTCATATTTCCTTTTTAACAGGTTCGAATAATTGATTTTGGAATGTATTTTTGCGAGTTTTTGCCTATTAAAACTCATGAAACTTCCGAAAACCTCCTTAATTGAATTTTAGAAAAATTCCCCTTCAAACAGGAGGATGTGTAAAAACATTAATTATCCTCTCCTAAATCTAACTATATATTTTTTCTAAAATTTCCATTTTTCATTAAGGATAATTTTCTCAAAATGTAAAAAAAATAATTATAGAACTCAATTATTTCACAAAGAAATAAAAGTTGCCAAAAAAATTTATTGCAAAAATTTACTTTTTGCCTTTTTTTGTCTCAGATGTGCGGCTGTATATATAAAATGCCTTTTTTTGACTACGTAATGTGCACCCTTCAGAAGGTGGGTGGTGAGGATAGTAAAGGTCCCATATTATATACTATGCGCATAGAATAAACACAGAGTGGGGTCTCTCTAAAAAACATACGGTAGTTGGGGTAGTAAGGGACAAGGGTAGTTGCCATTCAGATTCAGTTTCAAGGGTTAGGGTGGGGTCTCTCTAAAAAACAGACGGTAGTTGGGGTAGTTAGGGTAGTTGCCATTCAGATTCAGCTTCAAGGGTGGGGATGGGGTCTCTTTAAAAAACAAACGGTAGTTGGGGTAGTTAGGGTAGTTGCCATTCAGATTCAGCTTCAAAGGTGGGGATGGGGTCTCTCTAAAAAACAGACGGTAGTTGGGGTAGTTAGGGTAGTTGCCATTCAGATTCACCTTCAAGGGTGTGGGGTGGGCCCGTGGGGTCTCTCTAAAAAACAGACGGTAGTTGGGGTTGTTGCCCCCCAGTTGTGCCTCAAGATTAAATTGAATTAGTATTATAGTTTAAAAGAACCGAAATTTCTTTAAAACCCTTGGTGGTCGTTTTGCAGAGGAAGTGTTTGAAAATTTATTCCTTTATTTCTAAATTTAAATTGTTCGTTTCGTTTTTATGGCTTAATTGTATATCTGTCGATAACCTAACCCAGGTTGTTTAACTACTCAATAACCCCCCTTGCAACCTTCCCCCCCCACTACCCCGGCTTTACTATGAAAATTTGCAAAAAGGAAGTAAGAACCATTTTATGCTGTGTAAAAATCGCATAAAAAGTATATTGCGGCTTGCGAATATCTTGCAGTGTTTTTAATTTAGGTTTTTATAATTCCTTCTTTGTCCTTTGTGTGGTTTCTGCGTTGTTAAAAAGTCATTTTGTCAAGTCGTAATTTCATTTTATACATCTCTTATACTTGCAGAGGAAAATTGTAGAATAGTTAGAATAGGTTTTACTCAAAATTAACCCTAATACTTTGGAGGACTGTCAAGTTGACCTCAGCTCCGCAGGGACAGATACAGGGTAGGATGCCTCTGAAAAAAACATCCCAGATATGCGACACATTTTAATTTTAGGAAGCTTTAGGGTAAAACTAGCTCATTACAAAATTTTAGCATTTTAAAAATAATATTCTTGAATGACCCAGGCATTTAATTGTTTTTCCACCATTTTTGGCACTTTTTTAACCTTTTTTAACCATTCTCGGCTAAATAGGGTTAACTCTTGTCAATTTTTAAGCCGTCTTAAAAGGTATTCAGAAAAGTTTTAAAAAATCTAGTCTAAGATTTGCAAATGAAACAAGGCAATGGCACATATTATTAAATAATTGTTAAATGAAGGAGCAACTAGCGAGCGTGTATGTATTAAACCTCTTTCTTTGTTTAAAAAATGTTGAAAAAGTTTCCTGCATTCAGATCATCTGTTTCATGGGACTATCCTATTGAGTTTCATCTGTTTCATGGGACTATTCTATTCAGATCATCTGTTTCATGGGACTATCCTATTCAGCTCATCTGTTTCATGAGACTATCCTATTCAGCTCATCTGTTTCATGGGACTATCCTATTCAGCTCATCTGTTTCATGGGACTATCTTATTCAGATTCATCTGTTTCATGGGACTATCCTGTTCAGATAATCTGGTTCATGGGACTATCCTATTCAGCTCATCTGTTTCATGGGACTATCCTATTCAGATCATCTGTTTCATGGGACTATCCTATTCAGATCATCTGTTTCATGGGACTATCCTATTCAGTTTCATCTGTTTCATGAGACTATCCTATTCAGCTCATCTGTTTCATGGGACTATCCTATTCAGCTCATCTGTTTCATGGGACTATCCTATTCAGATCATCTGTTTCATAGGACTATCCTATTCAGATCATCTGGTTCATGGGACTTTCCTATTCAGATCATCTGTTTCATGGGACTATCCTATTCAGATTCATCTGTTTCATGGGACTATCCTTTTCAGATCATCTGTTTCATGGGACTATCCTATTCAGCTCATCTGTTTTATGGGACTATCCTATTCAGATTCATCTGTTTCATGGGACTATCCTATTCAGCTCATCTGGTTCATGGGATTATCCTATTCAGATCATCTGTTTCATGGGACTATCCTATTCAGATCATCTGTTTCATGGGACTATCCTATTCAGATAATCTGGTTCATGGGACTATCCTATTTAGCTCATCTGTTTCATGGGACTATCCTATTCAGCTCATCTGTTTCATGGGACTATCCTATTCAGCTCATCTGTTTTATGGGACTATCCTATTCAGATTCATCTGTTTCATGGGACTATCCTATTCAGCTCATCTGTTTCATGGGATTATCCTATTCAGATCATCTGTTTCATGGGACTATCCTATTCAGATCATCTGTTTCATGGGACTATCCTATTCAGATCATCTGTTTCATGGGACTATCCTATTCAGTTTCATCTGTTTCATGGGACTATCCTATTCAGATCATCTGGCTCATGGGACTATCCTATTCAGATCATCTGTTTCATGGGACTATCCTATTCAGCTCATCTGTTTCATGGGACTATCCTATTCAGATTCATCTGTTTCATGGGACTATCGGCGTAATTTCAAGGGACCCTTTATTTTGGAACCTTTTATTTTTTGTTTGAGAAAATTTTATGGAGATATTCAGTTTTTAAAACTAAGAATTTTCATGTGGAATTTTTATTAAAGTCACAGGCAGATTTTTGCAACAGAGACAAAGAAAAATGCGTCTAACTCCCCGGCGCCCCCTTCTCATCAGTTACGACCCTGCTTCAAACTATTAGTCCCCCCCCCCAGGTAGGGCTGGGGACGCTCCAACTTTTTCTAGCCGATTCGTTAACAGTTAGTTAAAAAAAAAAATTTAAGTTAGCCGTTAATTTTAAAGGTAAGAACGGAACATTCGTTCCTTTATTGGCATTTTCCTTTTTTTAAATTACCGTT